TGATTGCTAATACATCAACTCCTGTATTAGCCAGTAACGTTGCCGATGTTCTTCGGAATGAATGACCTGTATATGTTTCAGGATGTTCTAGTTTCAAAAACTGTGCAATTTTATTAGGAATAATAGAAAGGGTATTCTTGCCTTTAATACATCTACCTGCTTGATAGCGCATAAAAAAGCGTGAAATTTCAGTTTTAATTTCCAATCTATCTATCTTGATATATTTCTTGAGAATTTCTAGGTGAGAAACAGAACCCAGACGAGAAGTAATTGTAAACGTACGTGACATGCCATTTTTAGAATCTGGAATTGTAACTACAATAATGTCAATCGAAATTTTTGAAATTGACGTGGTTTAAAGTAAGTTTGCATAATTCATCAGAACGGCGTGCTCCTGCAATGCCTACGACCGTCACTACCTTCGTTAGCGAATATGTGTTATATCGAGTGCTGAACGAGCAAATTGTTGACTTGTTCTCTTGTAAAAACGTTTAACTTTTTAGGTGTTTAGCCGTCATTCTTACGTTTCAAAAATGCCCTCAGCTTGGGGTATTTTAATATATCCACGTTCTCCTCTATGAAAATAGTTCACTTAATTGACTAATTTCTTCTATTTGAAAATGACTCATTTAGAAATAATAATTCAAAACCAGCAAAATTGCAACTTTTATGTAGTTTTGAAGATTTCGAATGTCAAAATAAATTGATTAAGAAATGTCAAAAAATAAACCCTTTATTTCATGAACCATAAAGAACTGTGGAAGCAGATTTACCAGTCTCGGACTCTATTGCCAGCCCTCGCTCCGCTCGGGCGCAAAGTCGTCATCGACTGGTAAATAATACTTGCCTTCTTTATGGTAGATATAAATTTAAAATGAATTTTAGGCAATATCAGTACAAATAACGTCAAATTTGGTACGCACTGTAAGGATGAAAGCTGCAACAGAATGTATCTACTATAATATCGTTAATATAATGCTGTACAGAGTAATTTTAACAATATTTTCTGATGCTGTACAATGTTCAAAGGTGCTGTCTTTTCTTCTGCAAGTTATATCACTGAACAAGTGGCCCCAAAATAAAACACAAACATAGCTTTTAATATGCGTCACTTTCTTAACTATGCGATGGAGGAAATACAACACACCGAACTTGTTTGTTATTTTATCTACTCACGTTATCAACAGGGTTACCGACTTACCGCGAATACCATTATGTAGGACAGCTTTTCGCAGGAACTACATGCAGTTTAATATTTCTTGGTTTTCTGCGACACAGAATTTTTTAACTTGTATAAAAGTACCAAAATATTACCTGGAGCTGTGCTCATTGTTAAAATAATAATGAAAGGCTTATAAAAAATGTATTAATAGAATTCCAGAAAAATGTTATATGAAATAGTACAAAAAATATAAGATATATAAAAATATAAGATATATAAGAGATATATAAGAATTTTTCCAATGTGACAAGTGAATAAAAATGTTCATTTAACTTTTGGTATACAACTATTGTATCACCAGGCGTGGATGGCAATTCTAAAAACTGTTACATAAGACGTAGGTGGCGAACCTATTACGAACTTGATAATTTAATATTCTCTGCTGGACAAACGTAGGTCGTAATTTTTTAATTACTTTACAAGTGGTACCTTGTTCTCAGTAATGGAACTGTTTACTACGACTTATACGGGCTAATTATTGTTATTCCTTATTATCTGCGCCATTTAAGGCTTACATGTGTTTTGAAACAACGCGGTTTGTACCAAAGAAATTCTAAGGGGTCACGGTAAGGACCGAGCCCGTACGCAATGTTAGGTTTGAATTGAGCGAGGTTCGGTCGACCTCTGCCATAGGAGCCGAAGGTTCCCTAAAGAACTGTTTATTGTGCTCGTTCAAGAGAACGGTATCGTTAATCACAATAATCATGTGTTGATTCTGGTAGCGCTTTGTTTCTCATATTAACGAGATGAAGATATTAATATAACCGACATTTTTATTCTCTAATAACGTATTATTATATGAAATAATACAGCACAGACCTGGTGAAGCGGTAACAAAGAGAGCGCTACAATCAGAACAGATGTTCCAAAGGCTTTGGTTTTGGATAAGAAGTGTATGATTAGTATATCTTGATATACTAAGAGCGAAGTGTTTTTCTCCAAACCAAATAAATAAATACGTTAAATACAAATAAAATTGTGAAAAATAGAATTTGTACGTAATACCAACAAAACATTTTCAAAATTCAAGATAAATATGTAAAATGGAAGGGCCGTTGGCAAAATTAGGATTACAACCACAATAAAACAATTTAATTTTATAATTTTATAATAATTAATGATAACCTCTAATCCTCCAGTTAATCACATGATTAAGTAGCACCATTAACTCAAGACACAATCACACCATTATTATTTCAAAATTCAAAATAATGATAAATCTTTATAAATTTAGATTAGTTGTCCATGATAGCATTTGTGTTGTTCTGTTTTCAATATAAATAAAAATATTTTATCCTCCGTCTTAAAAGTAAAACTACGTTTAGTATAAAAAATGAACGTTAGACCGAAATGCCCTTTGAAAGTGTATTTTAAAAATAGATTGTGGAGACCAAGCGCAATCAATGGACCTGGTTATTAATGGCCTAGTTGACAACGTATTGGCAATGCTGCGAGAAGGTAGCGTAACAATTTTAGCGTAACCTTATCGTTCGAGATAGACGTAAAGTCAACAATAAATATACTTAATTGTAAAATGTGGCGAAACAAATTGCTGACTACTAACAGGAAGTAACATCAAATTACGAGATTTTTTTCTTTCTTTTGTGCAATGACAACCTTCTTAATCAAGATCTTTGCAAAATAATCGTAAAAAATATTAATTATTGAACATGTCGATTACAAGATTCATTTTTATATTTATCTCCGCAAAATTAAAACCACAGTGTTCAATGAAATGACGGAATACATATTTCCTACGAAATACATTCAGACATTTTATTTTTGTTTTTAAGAAATAATTTACGTGACCTTCGAACTAAATATTCTAATTTAATGTTGTTCTTGACATTTGTCATGTTTATTTACTCGAGTTAACTGGCACGCATGTTTATAGTTTTTGGGCTAGAAATTTCACCCTGACCTCTCATAATTTGAGCTTTATGCAAAGTTAGGTAAGTAACATGAAATGTTCCAATACTAGGAATTTTACTTCTCTTCATTCATTAATTAAGTCTGGTAAAATCATAAAACTAATCACATATATAGTTAGAATAAACGTATACTAATTGTATAAATAATGCATTTGACCAAAATTCATCCAGTGGCGTCGAATACTGTTCACTCCTAATCAAAACTTTCGCTTCTCTAACATTTTTTTAGAATACACTGTTCAGTGAATTTTCGGAAAAGTGCCACTATAAAAACGTACAGATGAAAAGTTTGCTATAATTCCTCAAGAATTTCAGATTTGTTTTTCATTCAAATAAATCTAGACCTAAATCTGAACTTAACAAAAAATCTTTAAATTGCATAGTGAAGTTAATGTCCTTTTAAATTATTTAACGAATTTGACACAAAAAGTGTAATAAAAAAACTGACTGAGCTAAAGTTGGTTAACAGGCTTCCGTGGTTGATTTAGACACATCGCACTTTTCAGAAGAACCCTATGATCATTAGAGTATCTTCTGAAGAAGAGAATGATATGTTTTTTGAAATGTCGAGAAGTGAAAGCCAATGACGTGGCAAACAATCTAAAAACTGTTGAACCACTGAGCAAAAATTTACTGTTTTATTTTAATTCCCAAAATTATTTTCAATTCCGTAATCTCTAAGCACTATGGCTCCAGTGCCAAATGGATGACAGCACTGACTGTTTTTTTATATAAGTAATCAATAGCCTATTTATCCAATAAATATTATTCAAGTTTGACGTTTAAATTCATAGCCAACTTTTGAATTTTCATTGATTTTAAATAACATAGCTACAATACGTATTATTAGTTATTCTTGTTTTTGTTGAAAACGACAAAGTTTTTTGAAAACTAACAAGAGTAAGAAAAGTTTTGGAATTAAATTTCCCCATAAAATAAAGTAATAAATTTTTAAGTCAGCGAACGCGTTCAAATATTCTGTCACATTTTAATGGTGCATCATCCCTTATCAACCATTTAAAATGCTCAATTGAACTCTACTTACTGCCGATTAAAGCTCTTGGTACACTCACAACGTGTACAAAATTTGTTTTTTTTAAGTTCAAGTACAATTCCCAGGCTGCATAGCCGCACTGCCCTACCCAACCATACCACACATAAAAATGACACCACCCCCGGGGTTTACACAGACGAGCCGGCGAAGCAAGAAGAGCGCCAGAAGGAAGGGCCCTAGCCGGCGGGGCCCAGCCAGGACAAAAGGAGGTCCCACAAAGCGCCTACACCGGCCGCATTTGCGGTCGGGGTAGACGACGGATGGGGCCCACCTACGAAGGCTGTCCAGGCCTACACGAGATGAGGCAGGATAAAGAGGGATAATGCCCCTCGATCCCAAATCATTGAGGCCAATTTCTAGCCATGGAATAATGGCGCAAGTACAACTGAGATATTGATTTTTTTCTAAATTTGAAACCTCACTTTCAAGGCCTATAACTTGTCAACTTAGTATAAAGGTAAGTTGCGTTAAATCACCATATTTTGCCCCTGCTGTGTCGGTTCTTATGCGAAACACCCTGTATATTCGTGAATCATAGAAAATAAAGCGTTTATGCGCCAGATTTTCATATGTTTGCAATTGATCATTTACATAAATCTTTTAACTTTTAATTATAATGTCCCAGATATCATATTTCACGAGATTTATTTGTTTATATGATTCACAAAATCCTCAAAAAATATAACCCATTCTTGCGTCACTTTACCAAAAAATTATTTAAATGTAGGTAAGTCTGCGTTACACAACACCGACAGATAAATTCTATACTTGACATAAGAATAGTGTCCCTCACCTAATCCTTGCTTATTGACAGGCTGAGGACTCAACTTGGATATCCACCTGAGGAACCTACAAGCGCTCGTGGGGGATGGCCGACATCCTGGCGGCGTCTGCAGAACAGCCAAACCGTCTGACCCCGGCAAGGGCCGGTACCGGCTATAGGGTGACATTCATCCAATTCAGGACCGCCCCCGATCACATCACTTCAACACACCACCTAAGCGAGAGAATCAAAACTCCTCCAACACAACCCAGCAACAAACAGATCACTCCGTATTACATCCACCACCTACGCCGATGCGCCGGTATCACTCCGCCGTAACACTGCCAGGGGGGTGAGAGAGAGAATCGGGCAACCCTTGTGTACACCGTACAACGACGTGCGACTTTTTCGCTCAGTGGCGCATCGTCACCTGTTGAGCGACAGCTGCCACCGCTTATTCCCACTCTGTCTCGGTCGGGCACGAGATATCGGACTGACTGCTTCGCGTCGCTGTAAGTGGTTAGATTAGCGGTACCGTGTCCCATTCTCTATCACGCGAGTTCGCGAACGCTGTTGCCAAGTCTCGCCCTAAAGCGAACTACCTGACGAAAGACTTGCAGTCGCGGTGGATGCGGACAAATGACGGCGCCAACCTTGAGCAAGGCCAGCTCGGTGAAAATTCTTATTTTTATTTTTGCAGTCTTAATTTAAGTGTCGATTTTTACGCAGGCCATTCTCCTTTTTTATGCAAGCGTGTAAACAAATAAAAACAGAAGAAGGGCTCCCTTCTACGGAGCCTTCCATCAATATTATTGATTCGTTTACAGTGAACAACGACAAACCGTCGCGTTCGGGTGGATTTTAAGAGACTCGCCATCTAGTATTTGCATTAATAACTTTGTCTAACAATATTACAAATAAACGATGGTATAATTCCAAACATTTTTATCATTTTCTTATCTTTTTATTCTCACAACTATCAAAAAAAGTGGCATCGTTGCAATAGCGAGTGGCGCAAGCGTTCGCAATCCTCGCTTGCCTTCCTCGTAGGCTTTCTTTCCCTACTCTATTATTACGATGTCGATCTTTTTATGGTCAATTTAGCCGTACAAAGGTAAGGCACGGAATCTGGATTCGGTGCGAATATACGTCTCTTTGTCGACGAGCAGATGAAACGGCAGAGCAAACCGTAATGGTTTCCCTTAACTTTGAAGGCAATTCGAAGGTTGTCGTAAAAGTCCTAGACGACAGTTCCACAATAGCAATGCAATGCGGAAAAAGAAAGACGCGATGAGCGCAATAAAATCCGCCATCAAATATTTTATGTAACGGTTGGCGGCGCGTTTTATTCCACATTCCGTAATTCCGACAAAACGACGTTCAAAATTTTGGTACACATCAATAAAATATACAGCCGGATTTATAGCTTTTAATTCTGCAATTAATAACGCCTAGCGAGAATCTAAAATTACGCAAATGCAAATTTTAAGACTTCACTTATGTATTAACTGGGTTAAAAATGTAGATTGTAGATTTGAGACATTATTTTTACAATATCTCTCCTAATTTGAAAGTTCATCATTTGCAGAACACGCTGTATATAGCGTCTAATTAATTTCAACACTGTATATTCTAATTAATCATTTATGAGTGTTTTATTTTTGCACAAATTTAGTTAATTAAAAACCAAGTCTGAGTAAAAAATACCTCAATAATAGTTAAATTTAAATCATATTAGAGAAAAAAAAAATAACTCTAAATTGGTTTTATATACTCAAAATAGACTCAAAAGTCACTCAATTGATAGTTAGGAGTAACTCGCATTTGAGTAAAACTCACTCATTTATGATGCAATAGTTTCACTCACTTGTACTCATACTAATAGAGTGAAAATTTCACTCAATCAGGTGTAGACAGAAACTGATACATTAATGAGTAAAATTGAGTGAAATTTGAGTGAAATTTTTTTACAATGTAATTGCGATGTCACTCTTTAATTATTTAATTGGAAAAAATTGTTGAATAGGAACAAAGAGAGGAAAAATCTTTCTGATCGAGTTAAATTCAATATGAGGGTGATAAGAAAAACCAAGTCAAACTCGAAAATAAATGAAAACTATGTTCAAAATTTCAAAAAAAATAATAATTTGCGAGAATATCTCAAAGAGAAAAAACTGCAATGAATTTGGAAACACCATCAAAACCTAAGGATTTTTTGAAACTGATATTGAATTGTGCGTGAGTGCTGAATTTTGAACTTTCTACATACAGTGTGATGCAGTTAAAATGTCATTAAATTTAAGAGAAGAGAGAAAAAAAATTTAAAATGCATATTTACCCTGAAAAAAACCTGTGGTACGTATACCTCATTGTGTGATTTACTGGGATCCGCTGCATTTTGATTTTGAAACCAATTGCAAAACCACTGTTTGGCTTATACAAAAATACAACTGAAACTATAAAATAATTGAGTTTGAAATATCTGTAGGTTAAAAATTTTTACACACATTTTGATTAAAAAAAATTGTAACACTTATTTTAAATAATCTTTTATAATACCTACAAATATGGTTTAAATTAAGTAATAAACAATTTTAATACTGTTGCTTGACAGCTTATAAATATTTATCCTACTACAACTGAAATTAATTCATCACCTTTGTATTTTTTTTACATTACGTTACATTGACACCACCTTATCTCCGTGTAAGTATAACGATTTTAAAATGAGCTTTGAAACAATCCACCTACTGAGGCAGCAAGATGTACATTTACGGTAAAGCGTATACGATAACAGATTTCTATTATTTCCAGGTTAAAGGTAAAACCGAACGTAATTTCACATGAGGCACACGAATTCTATTATAAACCTTACTGGCATGGAGTTAAATGACCCGTTACAAAGATAGCCGGAACTATATATTCTTTAAATTATAATCTCAACTTATAAGTGGCGTCGGAAAATAGAAATTTAAGTATGCCCGGGCCACGATTCAGTCTACGAGTGAGAATCTCAAAATTTGAATGGAATCGGGACTGCAAGAGAGGTTAGTGACTCTGTAACATTGAGGTGGCAGCTAAAAAACAATTAATATTACTGGAAAAATTATTGCATGGAATATCTAAAACGAATTTTACATTTACCAGTTTTTGACCAAATACATTGTTAAGGAAACTATCACAATTCGTTATACAGGGTGTCCCGTATAAGAACCGACACAAGACAGGTGCATGTAGGGGTGTCCAAAATATTCTAATTTAACCAAACTTGCCTATATACAAAGTTGCACACCTGTGGAGTTATTAGTCCCCTAAATTTCGAACAAAGTTAATATCTCTGCAACACTTTACCGAGAAGAACACAAAATCAATTCATATTCACTGTAAAAAGTTTAAGAAATGTCAGTTCACTCACCGGTGTTTGTCAGCATGAGGCTGTCTCACCACAACTCATGAATAATTGCAAATTTAGTAAACGTATGTACATACACGTTAAAACAAAGGCGCGTTCCAGTGAAGCTAAGGGGTGGTTGCAACAACTTACGCCTGAGAATATAGCAAATAAAATCTCACACTCGACTATGCAGTAGGGAAGAGTAGTCCTGTACATATGAGTCTCGTTTAGGTCTCCCCAATAACTATAAATGTATATAATAGCACTCGTAAATATACGAGATTTGTCTGAGACCGGATTAACATTTCTGCTTCGCAGTGGGATTATTTTATTTTTCTATTCTATTTTTGCTCCGAATCGCCCGAAGCCTACAAAAAGTTTATCAGAATTTATTTGTCGCCATAACTAGATGTTTTTTCACCGATCTGAATTTTCCCCACGCAACACAGTTATGTTTGTTACAAGAGATTATTATAAATTGGCACCTCATTTGGAATGTGTTGTCAAGATGGTTTTAAATGAAAACAGTATCCAGCACACTTCTGAATGTGGAATTTTGTCAAAAGGTTCCAACAAATCTGTGCTTTTATTATTATGTAAAAAAACTTTCTTTTTACGAATTGTTAAAAGACATATCTATATGATACCAACCAAATTACAAAATTTAGACGCTAAAATATTTATCATTAACATTTATATTATGCTAACATTAATTTTTGTGTAAATTTTCTGCACGATTTGAAATTAGGTCATTCTTTAAGCAATTTTTACGTAACAAAATAATTTACATCTTATACACAGTGTCCCACAAGAAGAAACACCACATCTGAACGAGGTTGATGTACATACATTAAATAATAAGAAATACACTTATATTGGGAATAAAAAATATAGAACAAATAAGAAATGACGTAAAATTTTAAAAGTTTGTTTGACTCAGACGCAAATGAAACTGAAAATAATAACTTCAAGCAAGAAAAAGTTTTCTTTAGGAAAAAGAATACGGTAGTTTGCAAAGTGATGGCGGAAACTTCGAAAACCAGCTCTAACCTTCAAAGTTTTCTGTTATCTTATTCGTACCAGTGCGAGTTCTTGAAATATTAAGAAAAATGACCAATGTGGCCGACAAATTCAACAACAGAAAAACATTATTTCACTTTAAATTCAAATTGTAAAAATGTTCGTCAAATACTTGATATCTAGAAAAAAAAATGTTTTTGAAAAATATGTATTAGTTTAAAATCTTAAACTAAAGATTACAAAAACTAATAATAAAAATGTAAATAAAACGTCGTCAAGAATATTCCGTCCTATTTATAATAGTACCTAAATATCATGCCTCTTTTTTAAAAAAATAGTTTATGTATACCTGGGAATATCTAGAGCATATAGATTTTTGTAATAAAAATTCCTCGAAAAAAAAACGTATTTTTAAAGCTAACATTGTTTTATACATCATAAATTACAGTTCTAATGTAATTCCTGGGTATACCATAAGTAGCTACGATTCTATATTGAAAATTTACCATAATTAATGGGTAGAACTAACATTTACATATTTCTATATGCATTATGTATAAAAGTTAGTAGGCGCGTCATTCAGTTCTATTAATAAATAATTAAGGAAATGAAATATTCTACTTGGAAAAACTGTCATGCATTTTTCATTTGTGGTTCATACAGTTTAAATTATAATGTCGATCAAGGAAAAACTTTTCTTCCAGAGGATAATTAGAATTATTCGCTGTCAATAACCACTTTATATCAGCAGAAAAATGGGTCAAAACAAGGAAATCTACTCTTGATATAAACGCTTAATTCGTAATTAGAAATATTATGATTACATACACATACATATTTAAAGGATATGAATGTACAACCACAATTTCAATAAACCTACCATTCCACTTATTACAAGAATGAAAGCTATATTTATATGTTTTAGTCATTTCACTCACTTATAAAAATATATGACCTTCATGTACTCGTTTTTAATAAGTGAACGGAAGATTTTCACACAATTTACTGTAGTTATTATTTTTCTAAGAGTTCTAGTCCCATTCTGACTAAACACACTTAATATGTTTCCATCAA